CTTAAAAAATTCTTGATAATTCTTGTCTGCGCATGTCTTCTAGAATATTCCTTTTGAATCTGTAAATTGAACGAAGCAGACGCAAAGATTTTTTAAAAACCCACCCTCCCTTCCCTTAATTTTATATTTTATCCCCCTTTAGCACCTCTGCCATTTTTTCTAATGCATTTTCATTATAACGGCTTTTTCCGGTTGTTTTTTTCGTTTTCTTTTAATTTCTCGTTTCAGCGTCATGGCATGGATCGAATCTTGAGTATAGGATCCACCAGCTTGTTGATGTGCTTTGCGGACCTTCGATGTTGATGTGCTTTGCGGACCTTCAATATTCCAGTTGCGTGTGGCTATTGACTTTGTTAGGCATAATTTTGCAAAGAATGCTGTCTCCGGGGGGTACTGTTTTTTCCAGACTCCTTGGATCAAGGTGGTATTTCTCTTGCTCATCATCTATATTCATTTACCTATGCTGCCATATAATCATAATGATCGGCGCATACATTGTGTTATATCTAATTTATTATTAAATGGCAATGACAAGCACGCCAAAACAAATAAAGTCTTCTTTTTATTGACTGTATTTTCAGACTTCTTAAACCTTTTACTGGGGTTAATCTGATCAAGTGTATTTCTGTTATTGTCTTAGTCCAATGTCACGAAATAACATTATTATCTTGCATGTGAACATAAATATCTTGCATGTCTACATAATTATCTTGCATGTTAACATCGGTATCTTTCATGTTAACATAATTTACTTACATGTTCACATAAATAAGTCTCATGTCTACTTTATTAACTTGCATGTTGACATAAATATCATGCATGTCTACTTAATTATATCACATGTTCACATAAGTTGACCGCATCTTGTCATAATTATATTGCATCTTGCATCTACAATATTAATGTCAGATACGGTCTTATGATTTCAACCATATTAAAAATCAGATTCTCAAAAAACAAAATTGAAACTTGCATGTCGACGTAATTAACGTATCGCCAGCTGTCAATCATAACAAATTTTCAACCAATGAAATAATTTCGTTTATTCTGCCCGTTCAGTAAAAACTTGCTCCGCCATATGCTCCGACAAACACTCTCAGTGGGTTGAATGGTCGACAATAAACAAATTGAGCAAATTAGTCTATTATGGTTAAAAATATTCAGTTGGGGAACGTGTAATACCGATGAAAGGTATCCCAAAAGAGAATTATGGATGTTTCGGGACTGCCATGCTTTGGGACGCCGACGTTTCAAGACCTGTCAACACATTTCGCATGATTTCGGGACTTGGGTTTACACGTTTTGGGACTTCTAAATATTTTGGTCAGAAAATAAAATAAAACTCGTTTACTTGTTTGTCATGTTTATATAAATGTATACTTTCTTAGTTTGATACGCAAAAAATTGGTATTTATAAATTCATGCACAGTATAAATGGTATACACGGTATCGAGATTCATTTGACAGACTGTCTTCTACTCTAGTTAAAAATATAAAAATAACTTGTGAATAATAGAATATCTGTAAATATCTACATATGATACCGGTAGATAATTATGCTTAATCAGTCTCTAACACTTCTACATGTACGTTCGTGCATATTGTACCCTCAAAGTAATGGTCAAAATACATACACATTTTAAAAACGAACATTACGATTTTTGAGTTTCTAATTTCACATTTATCGTGTTTATATTGTTGACTTGTGTCTGAAAATTACCAGTTTTTATTACCAGTTATTATTGCATATGCAGGATTAAGTTTATGAACTTTTATTTTTCACTTGAAAAAATTAAATTCGATTTAATCTACCCATTAAAAATGATTATATTTTATCGCTAAAAATTAAATTTAAATTACCCCCCCCCCCCTCAATACCAGCATTATTTAATTATTAAGAACACCATCACGTATTGGCAAAATATTGAATTTATTTAATAACTTTATTTTTTTATATAAAGACATACATTGTCATTACCGGAATTATAATCAATATCTTTAACGAATTAGTCCGACTTTGTTATTTGAGGGTTGTCCCAGAAAAACACGAACTTTGTATATTAGATTTATATAATACCGGTATATATATCTGACCAAAATTATTCAAAATCTTCATGCACTACTATCTATTATTGCTAAAAAGTGTGCACATTTTCCACCAGAACTTAAAAGTAAAGAAGAAAGATTTTTTCAGAGTCGATATTATCGGAGCCCGAGAGATTTATGGAACGACCATTTGATTCGGGAAGGGGAGAGGGGCTTGCAATTTTTTTTTTCCGAGTCAGAGTCAGATTATTTATTGTCATGACGAATTATTTATTTCCAATGGCAGATTATTTATTCATTTATTCTCCGCTTCACTGAAAAAGTCGAACAAGCAAAAAAAAAGGGAAACACCGTCGACAACGTCGACAACCCAAGATTATTGGGGGGGGGGGGGGGGAGTTAGGGGGGCATATTATTTATTTTCTTCCAGTTGTGGAAAGTTCATTTATTTCCAAACTGACTCAACTCCTTTATTAGCCAGACATCATATTCAGAATCAAATGATCGCCTCCTTATAGATAGAAACTAAAAGCATGTCTTAGTTGACAATGTCGGAATGGTTTTGTATATTATTGCTGATTTAATAAAATTATAACATTACAAATTGAATTCAAAGTCGTTGTTGTAATTTATCATTTACCCAGATTTGCAGTCACAATGTCCTTCTGTCTTCGTCGACATAGATGATTACAGTATGAGGGATTTCGAACTTTATCATGCTTCGATAAATTTCCGAGAAAGGGATAATACGGAATCATTTTTGAATACCGCAAATCAGGAAATTTTTACGTTGATTCTATTTTGCGAATTCGGGTCAAAATGCTGTTGATTAATTTTTACGCTTCAAAATTTTGCGAATGACCACTACTTTGTTAACATTTTCTTATTGGTGATTTATTTTTAAGAAAAATATTTTTGCGAATGCAATGAACTCGCAAATTTGCTAAAAATTTATCTACAGCAAATATTTCCAGATTTACGGTATTTCAAGTGAATGAAATGTATGAAAGATTTTGTAAAAGCATTTGCCCTTTGTTTTGTCTCAAAGTGGGTTCGAATGGCAAATATTTTGCAGCAAATCATCAGGAACTTCGGTCAAATCAACCGGCGTCGACTTATACTGATTTACTCCTTATGTTGATGATGTCGGAGCACCGTAGGAGTTATCTCCCATAGCGCGATGGGCGGAGTTTGGCGATACGTTAATTATTTTGCACGTAGACATACATGTAATTACCTTGCATGTTGACATGTTTTTCTTGCATGTTAACATAATTTATCTTGCATGTAGGGGGCAGAACTATTTCATTGTATTTGTAATCAATGGCAGAGTAGTAAAATGTTTGGCATGGTCCTAAAACCGCATCTAAGGAGAATACAACGCAATTAATACAAGAGAAAGAATGAAAACCTCTAGTTAAACGTTCTTAGATGTGCGGTTTAAAATTTTATGCATACAAGTTGTTTCATAATTTAGGGACATATTTTTAACAGCTAGGGCACTGAGACAATAATGATTATGTATGGTCGAGATGGTCAAGAAATGTTTGAAAATAAATGCCATGGGATAGTAAAACCAAAATTACTTACTCTGGGTATATCCCACTGTTATTTCATTGGTAACTGTCGTTTTGCAGGCTAAACATGCTTGGAATTCATTTCTACATAGACATCGATTCCTATCGTTAGAATGTTCATCATATGGTTTAATCTGTAATATAAATGATTGATTGATTGATTATATATTGTTTAACGTCCCTCTCGAGAATTTTTCACTCATATGGAGACGTCACCGTATGCTGGTGAAGGGCTTCAAATTTTGACTTTTACTCTGCACTCAGGGCCATTGAGCAGTGAAGGATCTTTATCGTGCCAACGCCTGCCGCTGACACGGGACCTCGGTTTTTAAGGTCTCATCCGAAGGACCTGCAACTTTCACTTCAAAGTGCCGAGCGCATGGCAAAGGAACAGTTGCTTCCAATTTTAACGACTAGGTCGGTCGCGGCCGAGATGCGAACTCACGACCTCCCGATCACGGAGCGAGCGCTCTACCGACTGAGCTACCATGAACGGTGTAATATAAATGAAAGATTTTCAATCTGAAAGAATATTATAATGATCTTCATTGTTCTTTTTTTTTTGGCCTTTATAAGCCTTCAAGTTTTAATCCATTTTCTTACTTGAACCTTTTCTTCACTAAAGCGTTTTTTGCCTTTCATCAACATATCTACATGTCATAAATTGCAACATCACCTACCTTTATCACATATTGTCCAGGCGAAAGTCTTGTAAACACGTGGTGCGGCTTCTAATAAGGAAAACGATATCATTTTGCAGGATCTTATTTTACAACTGTCAGAATGTAAAAAAAAAATTATAGTAAGCCTTACTTCCTTTGGCATGTTGCGAATTATGATTGGTTTGGAATCATTAACGTTTTCTAGGCTGACAGTGTACTCATTAAATTTGTACTCCGCGGGTCCCAAAGCAAAACTCATCTCAAGGTTATTGAAAGGTCCAGAACTGTTTGTGGTGGTCTTATAAAATATTGTGGTTACCCACTGACTTGGTGGTATTACATCGCTACCTGTATTGAATTTAAAGGTAGAAACTGTAAATTTGAAATAAAAAAGTATGTAATTCATATTCATAGGTGTTGGAACCGAGGGGGAGGGGGTTAATCCCCAGTGTTTTTTTTTAAATAGAAATAATTCAGGCATTAAATTTGGGGCTTACCTTTTTTGTTGGTATAACCTCCCCCCCTTCACTCCCCCGGACTTTCAATCATATAAAATGTATTTTAGAGGATCTTTGTTTTCATTTTACTAATGGTAATCCAACTTATACTCAAAGCTCCCCTTTTTTAAGAGGAAATTCTTCAAAATCATGTCAGTTTGAATATTTTTGATATTCCAAACAACCAATAGAAATTTGATTATCATATCTACATTGAATACTGATACTTCATAAAAGTCATTACAAACAAAGATACATTTATGCTATTATTTACACACTGAATTGTCCATGGATTATTTTCCGATTTTTTTTTTGTTGTTGTTATTTCCGGATCATAACGGTGTGGCCAGCGGGTAGGGTATGTGTACTGCTTCATGGCACCTGATCTCACTTCTGATATTTCAGAAAAGTCCGTGTTTGCTACGCTCCTATTTTGAAATGTTCAATGGACTTTCGAGCTGGAGTCCTGTGCGTTATCTCATCTCCACATGTTTCATATATGTCGTACTTACATGATTATTGTCCAAAACAAAAAAAGCTATGTTTGTATTGTCATATTTAAAAAAAACATATTTAATAGAAATAAAATATACCACATCCACCATTCGGTACACAGACACCATACTCCCCGTTCTGGACGTTTTCGGTTACGTTGAGGTATCGGTCGAACTGCGCAGGTGCAGGAGGGAGACTCCTACTGACCAGAAAAACAATGGGAGGATCTGCATGGGCCATGGGCCAGATCTCAGTCCAAAAACCAGTCTAAAGTTTAATGCAAGCTTTTCTTAGAAAAACAACGTCACTGAAATCCTATGAACTTATTAAAATCAAAAAGTTTAGCAAAAGTTTCTTTTTTGAAAGCATTTCTGTTAAAATGCAAAACAAAACATAAACAATTATTTTGATTTTTTGTTACATATTATATTTTTTGCAATACCTGTGTACATGCTTTATACCAAGTTTTCAATTTAAAATATATGTTACAGACAGAATTACAAGCAATCTTTATCGCTGCACCAATAAACATTTTATATTAATGAAAGATCTTTAAGTTTCTACTTGCCTGAACCACATCATTGTATGTCAAATTCTGTGCAGATAAGTCAAATATCAAACAGCCATATTTCTCAACTCTATTATATGTGAAGATAAGTTCGAATCCTTTCACAACATCAAAGCTTCCTGAAAATTCAAACAGAATATTTATCATATTAAATTGATCACATGACACGATTTAGCTCTGTAGCTCTCTGGCTGAACTTGGAACTGTAGCTCTCTGGCTGAAAATTTAAGATCGGACAAAAACAGATCCAATCATTGATTTATGGCGAGCCGACGCTTTTTTGTTGTTGACACTATGGGCATTGTGCGTTCCTCCCTTTCAATCATAATATCTATTGATTAAACATATATTTTACTCCTATTCAATTTACCTTTCATTAGTGACCAAGACGTGCTATTTCAATGTTAATAATGTCAATAATATGGACGTCGGAATGCGAATTTTCAAAGCTGAAAGTCCAAGGTCATAATGTCTGTTTGAAACCATTATTGTATCAGGAAAATAAGAACAACTAACTAAAAAAATTCATGCTTCAAACATGGGAAAACTGAATACTCAATATACTTTAGGATGCGTCCACTTAAAAATGAATGATCATATCTTTGTTTTTGTTTTTTCTAAAATAAAATATCTTTTAATGTTGGTTTGCTTTGTTTTGTGGTCATTCCTTCGCTAGAGCTATGATTTGAAAAAGAACAAAACAGAAATCACTTAGATACAGCTTTCTAGATCTGGCCAAGTGGTTTTTGAGAGATATTTTTTTAAAGGATATTTTCTATGAATTCCATTTTTAAAAATTTGATTGTATTTCCACCCTACCCACAGGAGCAAATTAAAATATTAAAATCACATACGCGCAATTTAATGAAAACTTCTTTTTTTTTTTTGGCCAAGTTACTCAGTTAAAAAATGAATCTGATATTTTGTAATTTTTTTATACTGAAAAACAGACTAAACTACGGAAGCCCTGGAGGGACATTGACTTACTTGTTATGACTTATTTGTTATAACTCATTTGTTTTGACTTATTTGTTTTGAGATTTTTTAGGTTAGTTCTAATTAAGTGTAGGTAAAGCTATTGAGAACGATTAATTGTAGTTTTGTAGTTAAACGTACAGTACTGATGTTATTACTGAATTTTTATCTGTTAATTACTGACGCCCTGGAGGGATATTGACTTATTTCTTTTGTGTTTTGACTTATTTCATATGTGTTTTGACTTATTTCTTTTGTGTTTTGACTTATTTCTTGTGTGTTTTGACTTAGTTCTTATGACTTAACTTTGAACTCTTGTTATTCTAAATTTGTTATGACAAGTTTACTTCACAAAAAGTGGCGTGAAAGATGTAGGCAACGTATGATTTCAGAAAAAAGTCCTTGAATTTATTACTAACGACAAGATAAAATAGTAGTCATGTTCTTGTTTTCAATCATTACGCAAACTGGAAGTTACATATAAGAATTAAGTAACAACTTTTAAGAAATAAGAATTAGGTTATAACAACAAAAATAATATTTACTTTAAAATCACAACTGTACTGGACGTTAAACTACAAATCGTCAATCAAAAACTACAGTTAAAATAGGACTTAACATTATTTTTTATTATAAAAGTAAGCCAAGCAACAGGTTTCAATAGCCTGTTACACTTAGTTATATCTAGCTACGAAACATTCCAAACAAATAAGTCAAATCAAAAAAGTTATAACAAATAAGTCATAACAAGTAAGTCAATGTCCCTCCAGGGCTTCCGTACTAAACAGACTGAAAGAAATGAAATATTTTATATCTTCAACCTCTGTGGATTTCACACTTTTTCTCTTAACTTATTTTTTCTAAACTTGGTACAAACTCAAATCTACCGTCGTACCTGTGACTGGGCCCATGAGAGTCACCCTAAGTCCTGTGTAATATTTCCCGTTTCCAGGGTATTTCCTGCTAAACACTTGAGTCTCCATTGATTCTGGCTTCTCCGGGAATCGGTTATCCTCCGGTACCCTGTACAAGTGGGGAAATGCTGTGACTGCCTTATCGGAACAACCTTTTAAAAATGGAAGAAAAAATATTTGAGTTATTCACAAAACAGCCTTTATGACAGATGTCTAACTGACTTCACATTGTTTTACACTGCGTTTCTAAAAATTGTATAAGAACTTTAGTACAAGCCTATAAATTAAAAAAGAATATCGTTCAATACAAAAGTATGAGGCCTATTTCCGTGTACCTAGGTTAACATATTAGTTTTAACATTAAAAAAATGTTACAGTCGCCAGTTAATTCAAATATTCTTAATTTAATGGGTGGAACAGTGTTAGGCCGTGTTTGTGTTCTAGAGTCGCGTGGTAAGGAGGCAATTCTAAAGTCACGGGTTGAAACCCCCTCCCGTGGGACAGCAGGGACCGTTCCTTTGAATGAGACCGTATAAACAGAGGTTCTGTGTCGCAGTTGGTACTGGCATGAAATAGATCCCTCACTGCACAATGACCATAAGTGCCAAGTATAAGTTAAAATTGCAAATCTCCATCGGCAAGTGGTGGCGTCTCCATATGGGTGAAAATTCTTGAGAGGGACGTGAAAAACAAAAAGATTCAGTGGTTTCATCAACTCTCTCTCTCTCTCATACTTACCACTTTGTTTAATGTAATACACGAAACAGGTGATATTGGGCTGCAAATAAATAAATAAATTAAACCGATAAAAATATAACTATTTGAAAAAATATATTAAGATAGATAAATATGAAAGAAATTATTATCTCCACATGTCTCTAACAAGTAGGACAATTATACATTTGAACTTGACTTCATGCTTTCTTCCGATTCTGTAGGCGTGTTTGTAAGTGTCATATGCCACGGTACAAATGGCAATAAATTTCATCCCATCATAACTAAGAACGAGTAAGAAGAAACAAATGTATAATATTTTTAATTGGATTTAATTCTTTATTTTTGAAACATGTTTTATGCTTTTTTAAATATCCATGCAGCTTTCAATATATTTTGGCAACAGAATGTATCATCATAGAACCGGAGTATGGCACGCCAAATTCACAAAAATGAGCTAAACATAGCTTCACAGTCAATAAACTAGGTATATCGGTTGTAAACTATAGTTTACGGATTGTAAACTATAGTTAACAACGTTTATCTATATTTTACATCTGTAAACCATAGTTAACGCGATAATCTATGTTTCAGAATCGTAAACTATACTAAACACTAAAAACAATCATTTGCGATTGCAAACCATAGACTATCTGATAAATATAGTTTCACGATTTGTAAACTATGGTTTATAACTCTTAATTATAGTTCACGACTGTAAATTATAAATTACAGACGTGAATCCATTTTTATCAACAAAATCTATTGTTGACGAATAATTACAGACAGATAAATTTAGATAAGCATACGTAAACT